GAGCAGAAACGAAAGTGGCTTGAAAAGTATAATTATCCAAATGACACTAAGAAATGGATGGTTCTAGTCTACTTTTTAACAGGTCTAAAGTAGAAGCAGTTGAAAAACCAATTCAACAGAAAGTAGATGCTGGTGACACAGATTAAATCAAATACAATTTCATGTCATTCAGACAAGATAAGGGCAGAGTTCTGAATTTTATAACATTTCTGTAATTTTTCAGATAATGTTCAAGTAAGTCCATTTTCTCAATAACCAGTTACAAACAGGGGAGTTATTCTGGGTAGCTGGTACTCCAGCTGCTTAGGCCGGATTTTTATGGTTGCCATTTGGAAGGGAATTTACTAAAATATAAAATCCTATGCCTCTCAACTGATTCGTATTCTGTCTTCAAAAATAAACAGACTATAATTCATAGTATTGGTGTTCTTATTGTATAACCCCCCAACCCCACAGACTACTGTTGTTTTATTTTAGAATTCTCATATATCCCTTTTATAATTTACTTTTCCTCCTCACCCTGGAAATCATTGTCCCCCAGCCCCTCACTTCCATTTTTCAACATACTCGTAATTCACAGGAAAACAAGTTAAACTAGCTACAACATCCAAAGCAGGAGTTCAGACCTTGAAAGTGTTGCTTTTCTATTTGCTGACATGATGATCTTGGCTATATTTTCTATGGCCTATCAGTCTGGGTGCTCAGATAATTTTCCATCGTCTTCAAGACTCTACAAGCAAATTCACTCAGGCAGGGCAAGTCTGGGTTTCAGATACTCGAAATGTGTCGGAGAGCTGGCGTGGTGTCAAGGCAGCATGAGCGAGCATAGGAGAGGAAAGAGGGAACTCGCAAAATCAGCACTGAGTGGGAGGATGGACAAGGGCCAGGAAGGCAAAGGAAGAAGGTGCTGGAAATCGTATGGGGGTTGGGAGTTCCTCTGGGCAGAATAAAACCAGAATGGGCCATAGGATAAGGGCAAAGAAGATTATCCCTCCCAAATATCACGAGAGCCTGCTATTGAGTGGACCTCCGTGGACCTCCGTTTGGAGCAGAGAGAATTAGGAAACATTGTTATGCAGGAAAGCTGAGGCCAAACCCCTGTTTAATCCTGTGTGCAGGTGAAGGAGATGGTTTCCCCTTCAGGAGTTACTGGCAGTTTTTAAACCAGTTCTATGTTTGAGGCACAGTGATAGGTCCATGTGAAGCCAGAGATATCATCTAAGAGACTATTGCCAATGGTCCCAGCAAAAGACACTGGTTTAAAGTAGGGAGTAATAGTGATTTTTTAAATATTTAAAGCATATATGTATGAGCGTCGCTAAGAAATTTCTCTTGATCAGCCCTTTCTGGTGGCACAACAGGATGAAGCTTAGCATTACAAAGCTAGCTTCAGCTACTTCAACACAAGTTCAATCCCCGGCCAGGGAGGTGACCCACATGGTGCAGCAGACTTCTGTCTCGTCTGCTGTTCCCCTTAGCAGTGCATTTCAGTCAATCTGCCTGTTCTGCTCCCCACTCTTGTCTCTGGTGAATCCCGTCATGCCCTGTACCTCTGGCCTGTACCCCAGTTCTGTAAGCATAAATAAATAAATCTTTATTTAAAAAAAAAAAGAAAGAAAGAAATTTCTGGGCTCTCCCTGGCAGTGCAACGGGTTAAAGCACTGTATTATGAAGCTCTCTGAAGCCCCTGCAGCACCAGTTTGATCCTTGCCAGGGAGCTGACCCACATGGCGTGGCAGACCTCTCCTGACCCACCTCAGCAGTGTATGTCAGCAGATCTGCCTGTTCTGGCTCCCCACTCTGTCTCTAGTGAAACCTCTCATCCACCACATCTCTGGTCTGTACCCCAGTAAGCATAAATAAATAAATCTTTAAAAAAAAAGAAAGAAAGAAATTTCTTATGACATGGAGTAAAATGTAAGCATGTGAGAAGAATGTTCACTCTATTCATTGAGGAGATGGTGGTGTGAACAATGTGCATATATTCAACCTTTATATTGTATATCTCGAATTAATACAATGTCATGTGCCAACTGTACCCTCCATAAAACTGAAGGGACAAAGACATGCCATTTAATAAAGCAAACATGATGAGATTCAACAACTGATTATTTAGTTGAAATCATCTGTTTGCTTGTTTTTCAAGCATGTATCAGAGAACAGATACCTGAAAGCAACTCATACCTGAGCTACTCTGTAATCAAATACAATAGCTATGGGCTATCAGAAGAAGAACAAAGGAATGAGAGAAAGAAATCATGGAAAGAACTATTTTCTGGAATAGTTACTAAAGGAGTTGGCCCCACCTTGGTATGCTATAAGGCGCCATAGCAAAGTTGACTCAATAAACACGTATTAAATAAGATGGAGAAGTCACTCTATGATTGCTTCTTCCCCTCCCACTGCACTGAGTACTTTTAAGTATTATCACACGAGATGACAAAGGTTTGAATACTCTCTAATTCTAATAGCAGCTGTACGTAAGTCATTGCAAACCATGGAAGGATAAAAATGATTATGGATAATTTTCTTTCATTTGCTTTTAATGGCAGGTAAAATCAGCCAGCATTATAGAAAATTATATAAGGAAAGGAAAAGTATCAGGATTTAATAGTATCAGGAAAGAAAGAAAGAAAACGCTAGTCATTAAGTTTTTTTTTTTGAAAACAAAACTATCATAAAATTAAAACAATGTGACTTTCTTGCTGCCACCGACATATGACTAAAAGTGGGGCTTAGACACATGTTGACTGTAACAGCAAAGTAAGAATTCAAAAAGTGTTACTTCTTTTTTTTAACCTCTTAAACAGACTGACCAATGAGCAGAAGAATTTATAGCTGAGGGAAGTTTTAGTGATACAATAACACTATTTTTTATTGAGATGAAGTAATTTATTGCAAAAGCGTTTTGCCCTTTTCTTGGGAAAGTACTAGAGAAGCAAGAAGATGAGAAAAGCAGATTTAAAGTAGACTTTAAATTGGCTAGTGTGAGACAAGTGAACTTCTTTCTTGCAAGTTTAAAAACAAAAAACTATAACCAAGCTTTCTTCCTTGCTGTCTTAAGTCAGAATGTTCTGGCCAGCCTTCCAGCTCCTCTGAATCTGAGCCAACAGTACACATCGTGCTTGTCCAGCACCACCCTCCTTGGCTTTCAGACCAGGCTCCACTGCTAACTTTCGAGACACACGGTCACTCTGCTCCTGTGCTGGGGCTGCCACTTCTGATGGCCCAGCCACGCCATGGTCACCCCACCTCCCTGGCCTGACCATGTCCCAGAGCACCAGCTCACACACCCATCCATTCACCCAGCATGCAAGAAGCACCCACAACATATGCATATTTTGTGTGTCTATCTTTTTTTTGCATTTAAATAATCCATATGTAACAGAGTACTCTGGAGGAATAACTTCTCAATGGCAGAGATAACATTTATGAATTATTTGCAAACTGTGGTATTACTGAAAGCTGGAGGTGCAAGCTGACCTTAGGTGCCCAAGAGGAGGAACTCAAAGGCAGCAATACCACCAGCAGGAAATAAAAACAAAAGCTAGAAAAGATAGTATGTTTGCATACACACACATTCAGACTAGTCAAAAAAATCATGACCTGCTGAGAAATCTGTTCACACTGAAGTTGTTTCCCTGCAAAAGGCTCAATAGGAAAATGGCCACTTTTCCAAGTGCCTGCTCCAGATTTATCTGGAATGAGAGAAGCATTTTCCAACCGGATTTCCTTTAAATGTAATAAATGCTCCTATATTACAGTGCAGGACACAATGAAGGACTCTTTTAGGTCTTTTACTATGTGAAGTGAGTGATGGAAAAGTATTTTAAAGGTGTGTTTATTAAAAAAAAAAAAAACTGTCCCAGAACATTGTCTTGCCAATGTTAAAGATTCATAATTAAGATAAACGGTGACCCCATCTTTCATCTCTTAATCTCACTGTGTGATTTACTGTTTTTTCTAGAAAGGCAGTCATTGTTTCAATTTTAAACCATACCACCTAAATAGTACAGATTGTTTTTATTAAATTAAATTAAGTCTTCTGTCTGCTTGTGAAGGAACTTTAGTTTCTTATTGTATCATTCTGCACATTGAGTGACTCTGGCCTTGAGCCTTGATTCTTTTTATGTTCTTAAATGTTCAGTAAGCTTAAGCACTCTAAATACACAAAATAGTAACCTTAAAAAACAGAGCTTGAAAAAATCATACTTTATAGATTCTTAAATATTTCACATGTATATTATTGTATTTCTTTCACTTCTTTTTCCTGTAACTTTTTTATCACAGTCAACTGCTTTTCAACACTCCCTATGCTTTCGAGGTTAGGGCTGACACCTCATCAGGTGACTGTCACCACACCACGACACCACTACAGCCCCCTAACACACAACCACGTTCACCAAACCTCTCTCTGTCCCCTTGTCCAACTGGCCCTTTAGAAGCCTCAGTTCTGAAGTCACATTTCTCAATTTTGTTTTGGCTTGGTTTTGCCTCTTCTTCCATTTTGTTCTTCTATACTTTCCTATACAGTGAAGTCACCTGGCATTTTTCTTTCTCCTTCTGACTTACTTCACTTTACACAACCCTCTCATTCCATCCATGTGTGCCTTTGTAGTTTCAGTATTATTCTTCCGTTCACAATTATTTATCATGCAATTTCATTTAAATGTCAGAAATATTTCTATTTTTAAATACATTACATTTAGTTTTACAGTGTACTTTTAAAATATTTTTTCTGCAGTTAATTTCCTTGTAAAAAGCTATTGGTATAGCTTACCATTTCAATTTAAAATTTAAAATCCAGATATTTGTAAAATAAAGACATAATTACTTCAAGTAATATTCAGGAGAACTGTTTAATGTCAGATCCTGAAATACTATAAGGCAAATTTTAACCATTAGATCAGGAAATCCTCTGTGGAAGTTTCCTACTCGAGCTTGTGAGTGATTTGCTCCCTCATGTGTTTCACAATGTCATAGATACAAGCTGATCTCACCTGCTTTCGATTGTAGGTTTCTTCTGGGTTCCTCAGGGGCCTCAATTGGCTGATCAGCCAGGAACACTCGAGCTTGGTCGATAGCGTTGAGGACAGAATACTCTTTTTCCTTTAACTCCCGTCTCAGCACCTTTGCAAAGAGAAGCAAAAGTTGAGTCTGTAACCTAATGTGCTCACAGAGTAATGGAACACCTTCCAAAGATGACTTGTAACCACACTGACACAGAGAACGAATAATATTGCACATTTATTCTAAATTACATGTAAAAATGTACATTTTATATAACAAAGTTGAAGCATACTGGAAGCAAAAGTATAATATATATAGTATATTTATTATATCTA